CATGCAGCCAGTGCTGCTGTGAGTACTGCTCCTACAGGGCCTGCAGTGGTGTCCATCCCGGCCCCATTCAAGCAGGACTTAAGGCCTGAGAACCTCAAGGAACCTTGAGATGGAATTAGCGGCAGTGGGTTGCTGAACCTGCCCAGGGTTCCAAGCACAAAGTCTTCTCATTCTTTCCCCACTGCCCCAGGAAGCCCAGTCAGGGCTGTCTTCCCACAGACCTATATGCAGAGGTATACTCAGAGCTCAAAGCCATTCCAATGACCTCTGGTGCCCAGAACCTGCTAGAAGTGTCAGTCCCCCTGGAAGTGGCCCAGAGCCATAAGGGAGGGGTCTCCTCTCCCCTTCCCTTCTGTCCCGCGCCCCTCTTCTCTCCTCCCCCTCCCTCCCCTCACCTGTCCCTCCCCTCCCCCCTCCTGCTCACTACAGGTGAATTTCTTCTTAGAAGCAAAACAGCCTTAAATCGATACGGCTCCCCCATCATGATCACTACCATCAGAAGTCATGTTTAAGCCACCCCCAGTTAATTTTTTGTTTATAAAATTGTGCCCTTCACCTCCAGATCCCCTCAGGGAGCCAGCAGAAATGGATCGCTTAATAAAATCAAAGCACCACACAAGAAGGGTTTGTAAGCATCTTCTGTACCCTCCAGGCAGCTGCTCTCCTAAGAGGGCTCAGGAGCAGGGAGGGGCCTACTGAGCAGACCCCTCTCCCAGCAAGCCCCTGATAGTGGAGGCAGAGGCTCCTAGGACCCGTCCTGGTAGGAGGGTCTCCCTGCCATTTGCAGGAACTTGCACAATGCCACATAAGTCTGTTCTGCCTGTTAGGTCCCAGCACTGCAGCATTGTTAGGGAGCTTCAGAACCCTGAAGCAACCAGTACGGAATGCCGGGCAAGTGTGCCTGTGGACCGAGTGTCAGTGACCCCTCCAGTTTGCACGCGGGAGCCCTAACTTGTCAAAAACTGAAGACATAGTCTTTCCCCAGGCCTTCCCAGTCTCACCGTCGATCCACCAAGTGGACACCCAGCTGAGGAGGGAAGGAGGGCATTCAGGCCATGGAAGGTGAAGAGAGCCTGCAAGTGGGAGTCGTCTGGGTTGTGATGTACAGAGATGCCTTTTCTGGGAGGTCGTGTTGAGTGATCACACTGAAAATGGGTTTAGCTAATAGAGATGTGTTCTTTTGTCGTAAGGGTCACGCAAGCAGGTCCGAGCTTAATTTCTAAAGAGCAAAATGCTTGGTGGGTACAAGAGAGCGCGGATGAAAGGTTCTCGGGGAAGGGGGCTCTGTCTTCTGGGTGGCATTAGATAAAGAGGACAGGGGAGGTCTCCACAAGACCTGCCAGGCAAGGCTCTGGGACCCACCCTGGAGGGATGTGGGTAGACGAAGCTGGGGACTAGGTGGAGGTGGGAAGGGGAAGGATGAGAAAGGTCTAAGGATGAACGAATCTCCCTGTTCAGAGCTCACCAGGAACACATGTGCTTCTTCTGAGGAGAACTGGTCCCACTTTTTAAAAAAGATTTATTTTATGTATATAACTGTTTTGCTTGTATGTATGTATGTGCACCATGTATGTACAGTGCCTGAGGAGGCCAGAAGAGGGTGTTGGACCCCTGGGACTGGAGTTATAGATGGTTGTGGATGCTGGGAACTGAACCCAGATCTTCTGCAAAAGCAGCGGTGCTCCTCACTTCTGAGCCCTCTATCCAGCACCCCAATACTACTTTTTAACACAAATGTCTGGTTCTGGCTAGGGAGGCAAACACTCACCTGCTGGTCCGTACATTCTTAGTCACTCAGCAAACACCCACTTATGCCAGGCTTTGGGGAAACCAGGACCTCTGAGATAGGTCCTCTTCCCATTGGGTCATTCTCAGTCCAGACCAGAAAGCAGATAAGAGGCCAGAGAGTAGTCAGGAGCTCATTCCTAACCGAGGCAGCGCCCACCGATCTGGGTGCCTCCTGCCCGGTCTGTAGCCCCCAGGCTTACATGGAGGCATGAATAGAAAGTGTATTCTGCCAGGTGTGGTGGCACACTGGCAGAGTGTGTAGATGACAACCTGCTAACTCACTCTGTTAGGACTTCATGGACAGTGTGTCCACAGCTGCCCTTGGAGAGTCAGTGATCAACCTGATGATCTTCCTGGATCTGATCCAGAGACAAAAATGACCATAAATGATGATCCCAGGAGTGGCTGAAAGATGGGTTCACCAACAGTACACCTGAGTACCCTCCAAACTGTGACCCTCCAGTGTGCACATAGGACATCATCAGTGAGGTGGCACATGATTAAACCCCAGGCCACTTTTCCTCGAATGAGCAGGTGGGACAGGCATGGATATGGTGACAGAGTAGAGGAAGGAGGGTTGGAAGATGGGAGATGCTGGGGGGAGGGCGGAGGAAGGGACCAGCATGAGTCTGTCCCAACCACACACAGCAGGGCCCCGTCCAGGGTGGTCTCTCCTCGCCTGGCTCACACAGGACAGGCTCCATTTCACATAGCCTGGCCTCCAGAGAGACTCAGGAAAGAGCTCTGTGATCCTGGACACATATGACAGAATGGAGGACAAGCGGACCTTAGGACCTAGGAAAATGGACCAAGTGTCATATCTGGTGGACATTTTCGACTCACCAGCCTCGAATTTCCCCTTTAATCCCACTGCCTTCCAAGTACAGACGGTGGAGATGGGTTCCAGCCACCGAGCCTTCTGTCGTGGCTGGGGCTGCCTGCCAAATGTTTGCCTTTGACCAAGGAAGAACCATGAGACATGTTCGTGAGAACTTGGGAGACATGAGGAGTGCTTGGAACAGGACGGCAGGGGCTGGGAAGGTGGGGGTATGGGTCACTCTACCATGCTCATCTGTACCAATGTTGTGCAGACTTGGCATCTGAGAACCAGAGGGTGCCCAGTGCTTGGAGTAGTTCTGAGGGGTCAGGCATAAGCCTGGGGGAACACTGACTACAGGAAAGGGGTATGGCGATCATCTAAGTAGAGGAAAGGCAGAGACAAGAAAGGCCTGCGTCCCGAGCCCTCCCACCAGTCCTGTCCTGCTACCCAGCCCCAGCAGGGCAGTGGGTCTTTTCCTTCCGGAAGACGTGGCTGCCGATCCATGTCCCTGGCCGTGTTTGCTCTGCAGGGCTGGCTGGAATAGAACCAAATCACACTGAGGCGGGAAGTCCTTTTATGAAGGGAAACGAAGAAGTCAGTCAGCATTGGGGCTATCCCCCAAGCCAACAGGAGGCAACCCTTGGTCTATCCATCTCCTTTTGAAATAGCTCACTGGGCGGCATATTCTGTCCCAACGGCCCCACTCAGTCACTTTATAAGCTACATGTGGAAATGCCATCTAACCTGGATGACCCTCCCCGTGCCTAGTTCTGGTTTGAGTTCAGCTGCCCTTTGGCCCACAGCCCTCCCCACTGTGTCTGCTGGGGGGGGTGGACCTATGACACACCAAAATGCTACCACAGAGATTCCCACAGACTCCAGTGGTGATCCAGCCAAGCCATGTGTGGGTCAACGTCCGATTTCATTCTTGCTTCTTCCCACCTGTGAGAGGCTACAGTGCGGGGCCCTGACTCAGGGGGATGGTCATTGGCACGATGACAGAGGGGTTGGGACTGGAACAACGGCCAGTTTGGACCTTGGCCTTTTCAACTGAAAAGTATGGATGGGAGGAGAGGGCCTTCCCCCACATGACTGTGGTGAGGGCTGCTGGAGGCTGTAAAAAATGAATGGCCACCTAACCTGCTCACTCTTTATGACGATGTGGAGAGAGATTATGACTGTGATTTTTCTAGAGCTGAAGAAAAACACTCAGTCCAAATACTTTCCAGCCCCAGAGCGCTTAGTTCATCTTGTTTTTCTAGGTTTAAAATCTCACATTTGGGGGCTGGAGAGATGGCTCAGAGGTTAAGAATAACTGCTGATCTGCTAGAGAACCCAAGTTCAGTTCCCAGCACCCATGTCAGGCAGCTCACAACTGCCTGTAAGGCCCAGATCCAAGGGATCTGACACCTCTGACCTCTGCAGGCTCCTGCACACATAAACACATACCACCCCATACGTGTAATTTAAAAAAGTAAAATAACATAGATATGAATGTGGCAATATTTGCTGCCTGTCCTAGTTTCTCCATTGCTGTGACAAAACACTCTGACCAGTACCAACTTGGGGAGGAAAGGGTTTATTTATCTTACATCTCCCAGGTCACAGTTCATCAGGGAGCCCAAGGTAGGAACTCAGGGCAGGAACCTGGAGGCAGGAGCAGGAGCACAGGCCATGGAGGAATGCTGCTTACTGGCTCGCTCCTCTGACCCCTGCTCAGCCTGCTTTCTTATACAACACAGGCCCACCTGCCCAGGGGTGGCACCACCCATAGTGGGATGGGCCGTCCTACATCACTCAACAATCAAGAAAATACCCCACAGACATGGCGACAGGCCAGTCCAATGGAGGCAATTCCCCAACTGAGGCTTCCTCAACCCAGGTGAGTCAAGTTGACACTAAAGCTTTCCAGCACAGTGCCTTTCCTTTAATGGGTATTAAAATGAATTTGCATAAGATAATTCCACAAAGGACACAGTGGCCTCATCCCCCCGTGACCACTGCCGACCAGGTGCTGAGTGGTAGAGGAAACCCGGGTCGGGATTGAACATTCCACTATACTGGTTGGAATTTGTGGCACCCTCAGGATTGCTTAGGGTTGGAGGGCCAAGAAAAGGGAAAACAGAAGTAGCCTCCCAGCGTCACAGGGGAATCGTCCACGAAGACAGTGTGATGGTCCTAGGTTCTGTTCCCCTCCGTCGCTGTGTGTTAAATGACGTCTTCCACCCAGAGCTTGAGAAGCAGCGGGAGCCAGCTCACCTGGCAGGCTCCCTCCTCCCAGGAGAACGTGTCCCCCGCCGCCTCCCCCTGAGCCAGCAGTGCCCCAGCTTTGAGATGCACAAGGTCCAAGCTGATTGCAATTCTTTCTGCTTTTTTTTTTCTCTTTTCTCAGAGAGCCCAGAACGCCTCGGGGAAAATTGGCTGAATAAAAGGTATAAAGACTTTCTCTTTTCTTGCTGAATGGTTTTTGACAGATATGAGCATGTTGAACATCTTGGGAGCTGCTGGTGTGAACACCAGGAGTTGCTGGGGTTCCCCCTCGCTGTGGGGGGAGGGAGGTTATAGGCATGGCAAGGAAGATTTGGTGTCTCCTCTCTCATTCTCCCGGCGGATGTGTTCAAATTGTGCTCAGGAAGGAGGCACGGGGCAGAGGATCCCAAAAGGGCTGGACAATGTCTGGGGAGTTTGTTCTCAGAAGCATCGATTCCTTCCTGCCCCTCTCCACCCTTCCTTCCCGGCATCTCTTTTGGCACTTGCCCGCCTCCCCATCACTCAGTACATGGCCACCGGTCCCCTGGGCAGCAAGGTCTTAGGATTCAAGGGCAGCCCCAAGCTTGTTCAGAGTGGCCCAACTTCCCTCTCTGGCCTGGTCTCTTGGAAGTAGGTGCTATGGAAACCAGCTCAGTTCTTCCCTCACTGGAATGCTGGTCGCTGCTGATGGACACCAGTTGCTCAAACAGGTGCTCCTCCCGGCCCACTCTCACCAGCTCCCCTTCTTTGTGGATTCAGTTGAGTTTTACTTTGGACAGCCGTGATCCAGAGAACACAGATTTTTTGTGATCAAAATTAGAAAGTGACTTTGTGGAATCTCTGCAGCCCTGGGGTGGAACCTGAGGTAGGCTCCTGGGTCTAAGGCAGGGTCTCACTCGTGCAACTGTCACAAAATACCTGACACTGGGTAATCACCTCTTGCTACTGTAACCATGGTAATTAGATTTCCACATAACTTTTGTTGAATGGACGTTCGAGCTCAGCAGATGGCATGTACCAAGGGCCTCGAAATGTCTTCTGAACATCAGTAAAGGAGTGGATCCGTCGGTCTGGGGAGCTTCACGTGTCCCTGGGCAAACGTGGTGATACCGTTTGTGTTATGTTTGTCCCAAGCTACCCCTGGAAGTCAGCTTGACCACATGACAGGGAGGTCCCACATGGAAGCCAGTCCTCAAAGGGCCACACAGCCTGTCTGTGAAGCAGATGACTTGGGCTCTCCTCACTGGCTTCCTGTCAGTATGGATATAGGGAGATGGAGCTCAGGGAGCCTTCTTCGTGTGACCGTGGGCTTCTTCTGGTGGGCACTACATGGCAGACCCCACCGAGTGGCCACCCCATGTCTGTGAGTGGCAGTCATAGTCCTCCATGAGAGGAGGCAAGCTGAAACTGTCCTCTTTCCCATGAGGAGCTCCACCAGCCTCTGCCTCCCGAGTGCACCAGCGTACCTGGCTTGTGTTTCCTAGAGTTTGTGTGAGCAGACTGGTGTCTCATGAAGTCATCCACCCAGGTGCACATGCCATAGCATATGTGTGGAGGTCAGAGGACAACTTGCAGAAGTCAGTTCTTACCTTCCACTATGTGGGCTCCAGAGATCAAACTCGGGTCATCAGCCTTGCTCAGCAAGCACTTTTACCAAGGTAGCTAGAATGAAACGCCTAGGTGGGAGCTGACTCTGTCTAGTGAGCGTGCACTGAGGTTCACTACCCCGGTGTGAGGGTGGCAGCTCTTCTCCACCCTCACATACCCGTCTTTATTCCTTTCGGTCATTCCATAAGGGACACTGTGGGAGTGTGTGTTTCCCTAGTAACTGCTGATGCTGAGGAGCTGAAGGGAGACCCTTGGTCTCCGATGAAGCTTCAGCTATTCAAGCCTTGCCTATTTGATGGAGCTGCTTGCTGTCTTGCTGAGTTTGGGGAGATGGTCACATAGCCTGGATGCAAGCCCCTTATCACACAGAGCTTTGCAAGTGTGTGTGCGTGTGTGTGTGTGTGTGTGTGTGTGTGTGTGTGTGTGTGTGTGTGTGTGACAACTCATATGCAGGGTTCAAGGACAACTTGTGGAAATCAGTTCTGTCCTTACACCATGTGAGTCCTGGGGATTGAACTCAGGTCATCAGGCTTAGTGGCAAGAGCCTTTACCCGCTGAGCCATCTCATTAGCCCAAGTGTCCTTTGGAAGCAGATTTTTTAAATTATGATGAAAGCATAACCGATGGAAATAAAACAAGGTGAGAGACTGCTGAGAAAAGCAGAGATATGAACACGGACGTCAAGAATGCTTGTTTACTGCAGCGTAGTCATGCATGCCTTTAATCCCAGCACTTGGTAGGCACAATCAGGCAGATCTCAGTGAGTTCCAGGCCAGTTTGTTCTACATAGATCTACATAGGGATTCCAAGGCCAGCTTGGAATGCAGGGACACTCTGTCTCAAAAAGACCAAAAAAAAATATAAATAAATAAATAAATAAATAAATAAATAAATAAATAAATAATGATGAAATCCAATTTATCATTCTGTTCTCCACAGATCATATGCTTGATATTATATCTAAGGAATCTCAGCCTGACCCAGCTAACAGACGTTTTTCTCTCCAAGCTCTCTCTCAGCCACTTTAGTTTCAGGCTTTATGCTTAATCTATGACTCAGCTTGAGCTTGTATTTGTGTGTGGCATGAGGTGTGGACTGGAGCTCGTCTTTCTGCTTATGGGTTGCAATGGTTTCATGATTACTTATTAAAAGATTACTCTTTCTCCGCTGAATTGCCCTTGCAGCGTTGTCCAAAACCACCTGTCATGTTCTCTCTCAGCCACTTTAGTTTCAGGCTTTATGCTTAATCTATGACTCAGCTTGAGCTTGTATTTGTGTGTGGCATGAGGTGTGGACTGGAGCTCGTCTTTCTGCTTATGGGTTGCAATGGTTTCATGATTACTTATTAAAAGATTACTCTTTCTCCGCTGAATTGCCCTTGCAGCGTTGTCCAAAACCACCTGTCATGTTTATGCAATTCTCTCTCTCTCTCTCTCTCTCTCTCTCTCTCTCTCTCTCTCTCTCCAAGCCAGTGCCATCACACCACCACAGTTACTGTAGCTTGATAGGAAGCCCTGAGAGTCCTTCGTTTTCTTATTCTTTGCTTTTTCAAAGTTGTATTGGCACCAAGCCTGGAGGAGCAGGGCTGTGACCTCAGCGCTCTGGAGGCTGAGGCAGGAGGTGACAAGTTCAAGTACAGCCTGGGCTTTATAGTGAGTCCCTGTCTCAACAAACAAACCAATCAAGTTATGGAGATAATTATATTAAGTGAATTAAGCCACTCTGAAAAACAACATCCTATGTTTTCCTCTCATTTGTGGACCTGAGATTTTTGCATAGATACGTTAAATCGTATATGTACAAGTGACACGGAAGCAAAAGTAGGGACTGGCAAGATGGATCTGCAAGTAAAGGTGTTTGCCGCCAATCCTGGCGACTGGAGCTCAATCCTCAGGACCCCCATGTTGGAGGAATTAGCTTCCACAAGTTGTTCTTTGACCTCCACATGGGCACATGCACACACACGCACACACACACACACACACACACACACACACACAGTAAATGGAATTTTAAAAAATTTGAGACAAAGCCTCTCTATGTAGTCTGGAACTTGCTATGTAGACCCAGCTGGCTCCAAACTCTCAGAGATCTGCCTGCTTCTGCCTCCCAAGTGCTGTGATTTAAAGGCTTGTGCCACCACACCCAGCAGTGAGATAATAATAAAGTAATGGAACTGGAGAGATGGTGCAGCAATTAAGAGCACTGGCTGCTCTTGCAGTGGGCCTGGGTTCGGTTCCCAGCACCCACATGGCAGCTCACAACCATCTGTAACTCCAACCCCAGAAGTTCCAGCACCCTCTTCTGGCCCCCGTGGGTACTGCAATGTGCACTTACATGCTGGCAAAATACTCATACACGTAAAATAAAAATAAGTCCTCTTTAAAAGAAACTGAAACTGTAGGGGAACAGGTAGCACTAACGGTAGAAGAAAAGGAGAGCAGGGTATGGGGGAAACATACTCAAAGAACATTCTATACTTGCATGGAAATGGCCTTATATGAGCCTTATAACAATTTTTAAGTTGTATTGACTATTCTAGACACCTTAGATTTCCATCTGAATTTTAGAACCAGTAAATGTGACTTCATTAGGATTTCAAGCAGGCTGGTCTTGCATCGCCAGATCACTGATACCCAACACAGACCAGTCCTCTGTCTCACGTACAAGGTCTGTCTCCACACTGAGGACGTCTTTAATCTCTCAGCACTGTGCAATCTCTTGCTTGTCTTCCGACAAATTTATTCCTACACATTTTGTGTTTTGACACTATTTTACATGGCATTTTCCTTTCAGTTTCCGATTGTTTCCAGTGCACAGAGATCAAATTAACTGGGTTTCACGTATTGATCTTGCATCCTGCAGCCTCATGTCCCAAGTTCCATCACTAGTTTGCATACTCTTTGTAGATTCTGGCCAGCTTTCTGTACAGAGTGCCCTGTTGTCTCTCAGTCACGACAATGTTCCTTTCTCCTTTCCAATCTGGATGGGTGTCCTTTATTTTCTTCGGGCCTCATCTCACTGGCTATAGCCAGCACAGCACTAAATACCGAGCGGTGAGTGCCGACACCCTTGCGTGGTTCCAGATCTTAAAGCTTCATGTATGGTATCAATGCAATTTCTTTTTGTGGGCTCCTTTCCAACTTCCCACCTAGTGCTAATTTGCTGAGGCTTACTATTATTATTATTATTATTATTACAATTATGTATCTATTTTTTTTGCTTATCATGTTCCATGACAGGTAGGTAGAGATCAGAGGACAACTTTTCTTCTCCCACTTGGGTCCCAGTGACTAAACTCAAGTTGTCAGGCTTGGTGGCCGGTACCTTTACCTGCTTGCCATCTTGCCAACCCTGTTTCCATATTTTATTTATTATTTTTATGTATTTAAGTGTATTGCCTGCGTGTATGTAAGTGCACCCATGTCATGCAATGCTTGTGGGAGTCAGAATGAGAATGCCAGATCCCCTGGAATGGGAGTTTAGGATTAGCTGCTGTGTGGATGCTGGGAACCAAACCCAGGTCCTCTGCAAGAGCAGCCAGCGCTCTTAACTGCTTAGCCATCTCTCCAGT